ATTTATAACTTTATTTCCATTTAAGTTTCGGGCCTTTACAGTGGGAGTTTTGAAAAAATGTGGAAAGGTGAGTTGAAAAATTTGCCGCACACTAAAAAGAAAAATTGAGAATTTTTCGATTAAAATTTTGTGAGAAAATTTTAATACATATATTATTCAATTTGTTCGTATGTTCCGTTGATTAAAAAGTTGAATAACGAAGGTTGGTTTTAGTATAGATACATATAGAGTGTTCGTATTTTTAAATAATTTTAATTTGAGAACCCACTATCAGGTATGCTTTAAATTTGATTTTTAACATGTAATATAATTTTTAAGTACAAATAGATCAGATTGAATTGTTTTTTTTTTAAATTTTTATTTTTCGTTACGTGTTATACACATATTACAATTTACATCTTATTATTACTTTATGTGAGGACTTGATTAACAAAAACTTTTTTTTTATACACATTAAATGTTGAATACTATATAAATAACTTGTCTATCACAATATGAGCATTGTTTAAAAAATAGTTAGAAATTGTGGTCTAAAATTCTCGGATTTTAACAATCCAATTCATCATCCTTCTTAAGTTTTATGAGTAGCCAAGTTATAAAGAATATTTAGAAAGGAATTTAATTAAGAAATTGATCTAACTTTATCTCAATTTGTTCCATTTGAAAAAGGAATGGTGCCAAAGAAAAGTGAAAATGTTTAAGTAATTTAATATTAAATCTTCTTTAACATAGTAACTAAATGTATCGTAGCTTTAAAACTTGTGGGACATGTTAAGTTTCTTCTCAAACTTGGAAGCAATTGTATTTTGTTGTGTGTATAATGGACTCCAAAAAAAATCTTATTTTCCGATATTATATCAATCAATCAATCATATAAAATCCATGTAGTTATAATATATTATATGATACATATATTGTGGGGTTTGAAGAAAAGAGTAGCTATTCATGAGGATGGTCTATGGCCACGTTGTCCATTAAATTCAAGACATAATAAGATCATTGCACATCAAACCAATTGAATTACACAAACCAAAACAAAAAGATTGTTTTCGTTAGGCAATCACATGCATGTATCAATTTTCTGCTACTTTCTATCAACATGCAAAATCTCCTATTTTCCTCAAGCTAGCTTCTTATACCATCTTTAAGGGATATATATGTATACATGCCTTTTATGTATATCTATATATTTACATACATACGTTCTTATACCATCCTTACATATATACCCTTATGTATATTCCATGTAAATCCATCAATGAGTGAAGTAGTTCAGTATCAGATTTATCCTGTAAAAGTAATTAGAAGAAGTCACATGTTTTTTCGTCAAAGTATAGCGTTATGTTACGTTTTGAGTTTCCTTTAATAGCTTGAAACGCACCGTTTTGGTTTCTTAACAAATGAATTTAATATATGAAAATCCTCCCAACCAATTTACATTAAAAGAAGCCTAAAAGTCCAACCAACGCTCAAATGCAAAATTTATTGCACACACAAAGACAAACAACCACCAAAATCTCAAGAGAAATTAATACAAAAAATATACACTCCTCCAGTTTATCATATCATGTATATCACCTTTTACAACTGTCACTCGTATATATATATATGTGTGTGTGTGTGTGTGTGTGTATATATATATATACTGGGGTAGCTAGCTACTTGTTTAAGCGGCTGGCAGTAAATGAGATGCATCTAACTCCAAGCAGCTCTCTTTAAACTCTTCACATTCTTCTTTTGTGTATATGAATATATAAAATATATTTATCCCTCTGGGTTGTTTGTGGTGTTTCCTGTTTTGATAAATTTTAGAAAGTAAATTAAGATGATGAGGAGCAGCGAGAGTAGTTCATTTTCAGGGATGCAAGACGAGGATATAAAGAAGAAGAAGAAGAAAACGACGTCGGATCAGAAAGAAGGTGAAAAGAAAGTAGGATTGCTGAAGCTGTTTGCATTTGCAGATTTTAATGATTATATTCTGATGGGTTTGGGATCTATCGGTGCCTGCATTCATGGCGCTTCTGTTCCTGTTTTCTTCATTTACTTTGGAAAGTTGATCAACATTATTGGCCTCGCTTATCTTTTTCCTCAAGCTGCTTCTCACAAAGTTGCTAAGGTATATATACACATATACATATATGCAGACTAATCAATAATATATATTAATGAAAGTTGCTGAATTCATTTTGAGATTTGTCTTGTTTTTTTTTTTTTTTTTTTTGCAGTACTCTTTGGATTTTGTATATCTGAGTGTGGCTATATTGTTTTCATCATGGCTGGGTACGTTGAAATTTACTGATTAATTAAGTAATTTATCATAAGATAATTGGTGGAATTAAGCAAATTAAATTGTTTAATTAAGAAATATTAAGTAAATAATACATTAATGTAGAGGTGGCATGTTGGATGCATACTGGGGAAAGGCAAGCAGCGAAAATGAGGATGGCATATTTAAACTCGATGTTCAATCAAGATATTAGTTTATTCGACACTGAAGCTACAACTGGAGAGGTCATCTCTGCCATTACAAGTGACATTATTGTTGTTCAAGATGCTCTTTCTGAAAAGGTATTTTATTTATTTATTTTATTTTAAATTAATATATAATATATATATATATATATATGTCCTAACAATTAAATATATTAATTATTTTTAGAAATTAATTTTTTCCGCAATTGTTGAATTAAGAAAATTGTATAATAAATTGGTGGTGAGAAATGTGGGTGTAACAGTTTTGTGGCAAATAAATGAGTTGAATTGTAGCATTTATAAGGTGGTTGAGTGTTGTTGTCTTTCTTTTTTCCTTTTAAGATTTATTTAATAAAAATTAAAAAAATATTTAATTCAGATCTTATAATATTTTTATTTTAATCTTAATTTATGAATTTTGTTTTCTACGTTTTTATTTATTCAATAAAAAATTAGATACAGTAAAAAAGATGATATGCATGAATGACTCAAATTCCACCACTAACAAACTACAAAATGAAAATATATATATATATATAATGATGCAAGCTTCTGAATTCGATAAAAGATGGTAATGGTAAGTTCCATTTTAAGTTTTGTGATTAATCAATGAAATATATGTGATGATACAGGTAGGTAATTTTATGCACTACATAAGTCGATTCTTAGGAGGATTCATAATTGGATTCGATTTTAAGTTTTGTGATTAATCAATGAAATATATGTGATGATACAGGTAGGTAATTTTATGCACTACATAAGTCGATTCTTAGGAGGATTCATAATTGGATTTGCACGAGTATGGCAAATAAGTTTGGTGACGCTCTCCATTGTTCCGTTGATTGCTCTTGCCGGTGGCCTCTATGCCTACGTCGCCATTGGTCTTGTTGCTAGAGTTCGAAAATCTTATGTCAAGGCTGGTGAAATTGCTGAAGAGGTCTCTCTTAATTACTCTCTCTTAACTAATTATAATCAAACACGAATTGTATTCCTTCAAACAAATTACAAATAAATAAAATGATGATCATAATTAATTAGGTGATTGGCAATGTGAGAACGGTGCAAGCTTTTGCTGGAGAAGAAAAAGCAGTGAGATCTTATAAAGAAGCTCTTATTAATACATACAAGTATGGCAGAAAAGCTGGATTAACAAAGGGTTTAGGACTAGGCTCCATGCATGCTGTCCTCTTTCTCTCGTGGGCTTTACTGGTTTGGTTCACCAGCATTGTTGTTCATAAGCATATTGCCAATGGTGGAGATTCTTTCACTACCATGCTCAATGTTGTCATTGCTGGCCTGTAATCAACTCCTCCTTTTTCTTTATCATCATTCTCTATATACATATATATGTATAAATGGGTTATATATGTGATGATTGGCAGGTCACTTGGACAGGCAGCACCGGACATCTCTGCGTTTATCCGAGCAAAGGCGGCTGCCTACCCAATTTTTGAGATGATTGAAAGGAATACCCAGAGCAAAGCCAGTACCAAAAATGGCAGAAAACTAGCCAAGTTAGAAGGACACATTGAGCTGAGAGACGTTGGTTTTAGCTACCCTTCTCGTCCTGATGTCGTCATCTTCAACAGGCTGTCTCTGGATATTCCTAGTGGGAAAATTGTAGCCCTTGTGGGCGGAAGTGGGTCTGGAAAAAGCACCATTATATCTCTCATAGAAAGATTCTATGACCCACTCTCTGGTCAAATCCTGTTAGATGGTAATGACATAAGAGAGGTTGACCTAAAATGGCTCAGACACCAAATTGGGTTGGTGAACCAGGAGCCTGCTTTGTTTGCAACCAGCATTAGAGAAAATATTCTCTATGGTAAACATGATGCCACCTTGGAAGAGATCACACGTGCTGCTAAGCTTTCTGAAGCCATCACCTTTATCAACAACCTCCCTGATAGATTTGAAACTCAGGTTACTTACATATATGTTTATAGATTACCCACTAAATGTTCATAAAGAATGTAATTAATATTTATGTAAGCTAACTTAGTACTATGTAGGTTGGAGAGAGAGGGATCCAACTTTCAGGAGGACAGAAACAAAGGATTGCAATTTCGAGAGCAATTGTTAAGAATCCATCAATTCTTTTGCTTGATGAGGCAACAAGCGCGCTTGATGCTGAGTCTGAAAAGAGCGTGCAAGAGGCGCTGGATCGAGTCATGGTGGGTCGGACAACTGTGGTTGTAGCTCATAGGCTTTCAACAATTAGGAATGCAGACATAATAGCTGTTGTTCAAGAAGGTAAGATAGTAGAAACTGGGAGCCATGATGAGCTCATTTCTAATCCAAACAGTGCCTATTCTTCTCTCCTTCAACTCCAGGAAGCAGCTCCTCTTCAGTCTTACCCTTCCATAACCAGACCACTCAGGTATACATATATAAACATATATTACTTGAATCTGTTCTAGAGTGTCTAGTCAATGATCAACCATATATGTGTTAAGTGCATTGATTGTCCTAATTGCTGATTTCTTGTGGATCAAGTATCAAGTACTCGAGGGAATTATCCCGGACCAGGACAAGCTTCGGTACAAGTTTTCGTTCTGATTCATTTAGCCGTGCTGGTGCTGATGGGATGGAAGGTGTTAGGCCAACAAATGTTTCCGTTAAAAGACTGTATTCAATGATCCGCCCTGACTGGACCTACGGGCTGTTCGGAACCATTGGTGCACTTATTGCTGGAGCTCAGATGCCTTTGTTTGCACTTGGAGTATCTCAGGCTCTTGTAGCCTTTTACATGGATTGGGACACAACACGTCATGAGGTGAAGAAGATTGCAATCTTGTTCTGCTGTGCTGCATTTGTGACACTCATTGTTCATGCCCTCGAACATCTCTGTTTCGGAATTATGGGAGAGCGACTCACCCTTCGAGTAAGGGAAATGATGTTTTCAGGTACATGCAATTTGTTTGTTCGCTGAAATTAATTAATTGGGCATTAGTTCACTGATACAAGATTTCTTGATTTGTTTTCTCTTATGCAGCTATCTTGAGGAATGAAATTGGATGGTTTGATGATGTAAACAACACAAGTTCAATGCTTGCTTCGCGTCTTGAGAGTGATGCTACGTTGCTAAGAACCATAGTTGTCGACCGATCAACCATTCTACTACAGAATGTAGGATTGGTTGTAGCGGGATTTGTGATTGCTTTTATACTAAACTGGAGAATTACACTCGTTGTTTTGGCCACATATCCTCTTGTCATAAGCGGTCACATAAGCGAGGTAATTGTCTTGAATAGAAATTCATATATTTTATTAGTTAGATAACACTTCTATATTAATGATCACATAATTTGTCATTTAAAATACACGCAACACAATCTAAGAATGTATATAATAGAATTTCTTAAGAAATGGTTGCTGACCTGAAGAAATTAAATTTTTAACTAACTGTCAGTATTTTTAATGGTGACCAGAAACTCTTCATGCAAGGCTATGGGGGCAATTTGAGCAAAGCTTATTTAAAAGCTAACATGTTGGCTGGTGAAGCTGTGAGTAACATCCGAACTGTTGCAGCATTTTGCTCAGAAAAGAAGGTACTCGACCTTTATGCTCGAGAACTTGTGGAACCATCGAAGAAATCCTTTAACCGCGGTCAGATTGCAGGCATATTTTATGGCATCTCCCAGTTCTTCATCTTTTCGTCATATGGCCTTGCTCTATGGTATGTGATTTTTCCTTTTTTTATGGCCTTATATTCGATATTTTGTAGTCCATACATGTGTAGTATTGTTTGGTTTCGTGCAGGTATGGTTCTGTTCTGATGGGGAAGGAGCTGGCAAGCTTTAAATCAGTAATGAAGTCTTTCATGGTCCTAATTGTAACAGCTCTAGCCATGGGTGAAACCTTGGCACTAGCACCAGATCTTTTAAAAGGAAACCAAATGGTGGCTTCTGTGTTTGAAGTAATGGACCGTAAGTCAAAAGTAATGGGAGATGCTGGAGAAGAGCTGAGGAATGTGATCGGTACAATCGAATTGAGTCGTGTCCAGTTCAGTTATCCTTCAAGACCAGAAGTTACCATTTTCAAGGACCTTAATCTAAAAGTAAGAGCAGACAAGAGCATGGCATTGGTTGGCCAAAGTGGCTCTGGTAAAAGCTCTGTGCTTTCTCTTATTCTTCGATTCTACGACCCAACAGCCGGCAAAGTCATGATTGATGGTCAGTTTTTTGATTATGCTAATACATATATATTGGATTATATCTCAGGATTGAAGTATCGTAATGTATTGTATTGTTATAGGGATGGACATTAGGAAATTGAGGCTGAAATCTCTACGGAAACACATTGGACTTGTTCAACAAGAACCAGCTCTTTTCGCAACAACAATATATGAAAACATCCTGTATGGAAACGAAGGAGCTTCTCAATCAGAAGTGATCGAAGCAGCAAAGCTAGCGAATGCTCATGGCTTCATAAGTGCACTTCCGGAGGGCTACTCAACACAAGTAGGTGAACGAGGAGTTCAACTCTCTGGTGGACAAAAGCAACGAGTAGCGATAGCCCGAGCAGTTCTTAAAAACCCAGAAATTTTGCTTCTAGATGAGGCAACAAGTGCGCTAGACGTTGAGTCAGAACGTGTTGTTCAACAAGCTCTAGATAGGTTGATGAAGAACAGAACAACAGTAATGGTGGCACATAGACTTTCCACCATTAAAAATGCAGACCAAATATGTGTTATACAAAACGGGAAAGTAATAGAGCAAGGGACTCATTCTAGTCTCATAGAAAACACAGATGGAGCATACTTTAAACTAGTCAGTCTCCAGCAACACCAATACCCTCAATAACTACACGAAATTCACTATTTTTACCAACTTTTATCCTATATATAGATACATATATATATATTTATACCCATTTCTCCTTAAAACCAAATATGCTCTAACTTTAAGTTGCATCAATTGTTCCTTCCCATCAAGAGAGATTTCTATATCTATATCTATATCTATTGATAATTCATGAGTACATACTGTTTACCGTTCAGTTGA